AGAGCATGTAAAAAAATCCCCACAGCTAACACCACAGTTAATAATGAAAGGCTGCAAGATTTCTCCCCAAGATCAGGAATAAGACATTTTATTCACTTCTTTTTTTTTTTTTTTTTTGGGACGGAGTTTCGCTCTTGTTACCCAGGCTGGAGTGCAATGGTGCGATCTCGGCTCACCACAAGCTCCGCCTCCTAGGTTCAGGCAATTCTCCTGCCTCAGCCTCCTGAGTCGCTGGGATTACAGGCACACGCCACCATGCCCAGTTAATTTTTTGTATTTTTAGTAGAGACGGGGTTTCACCGTGCTGACCAGGATGGTCTCGATCTCTTGACCTCGTGATCCACCCGCCTCGGCCTCCCAAAGTGCTGGGATTACAGGCTTGAGCCACCGCGCCTGGCCCATTTTATTCACTTCTATTTAACATTGTACTGGAAGTTCTAACTGGAGCAATTAGGCTAGAAAAACAAATAAAAGGCATTCAGATTGGAAAGGAAGAAGTAAAATGATCTCTTGGGCCGGGCACGGTGGCTCAAGCCTGTAATCCCAGCACTTTGGGAGGCCGAGGCGGGTGGATCACGAGGTCAAGAGATCGAGACCATCCTGGTCAACACGGTGAAACCCCGTCTCTACTAAAAATACAAAAAATTAGCTGGGCATGGTGGCACGTGCCTGTAATCCCAGCTACTCAGGAGGCTGAGGCAGGAGAATTGCCTGAACGCAGGAGGCGGAGGTTGCGGTGAGCCGAGATCGCGCCATTGCACTCCAGCCTGGGTAACAAGAGCGAAACCCCGTCTCCAGCAAAAAAAAAAAAAAAAAAGTAAAATGATCTCTATTTACAGTTAATATAATCTTATATATAGAAAATCTTACACACACACACACACACACACACACCCCAAACTATTAGAGCTAAGAAGTAAGTTTAATAAAGTTTCAGGTTTCAAAATAAATACACTTAAAATGTTTGTTTCTACACACTAGCAATGATCAACCTGAAAATGAAATTAACAATTCCATTTATAATAGTATCAAAAAGAATAAGATACTCAAGGATAAATTTAACCAAAGAAGTGCAAGGTGTCTACATTAAAATTAAAAACAAAATTGAAAGAAATCACAGAAGACCTAAATAAATAGAAAGATATTCCGTGTTCATGGATAGGAAGACTTAAAATAGTCTGGCAATATTTGCCAAATTAATCTATAGATTCAATGCAATCCCTATCAAGCCCCAGTTGCCTTTTCTTTCTTTCTTTTTTTTTTTTTTTTGCAGAAATTGACAAGTTGATCCTAAATTTATTTGTTGTTATTGGAGGTTGTCCTGTGCATTGTAGGATGTTTAGCAGCATCCCTAGACTTTCTGCTAAATACCAACTTTCATCAATCCTTGGGTAAAATGGGTTTGGGAAGCCAGCAAAAGCCCCCAGGCAAAGAGTCAACAGGTGCTGGATTTAGAAGCTCCCTTGTGCTCAGAAATGTTAAATATCAAGGAGATATGAGGGGGTACCAAGAGCATCTGTTCACTCCTGCACCACTCAGAGCCACTGTGTGTCATGTTAATTCATTCTATGTTGCAACTGATTTTTCCAGATGACAGTTGGACGCAATTAAAAAAGAATAAAAAAAACCCTTATGATAGAAAGACCTGTGAAAAAGCTACAGTCTCTGCTCCTGCACATGGCTGCAAATCCACAATAAACAATTATCTTCTCCCTTCTCTCACACCCATTTAATTTTCCTCATTCTCAGCCAGCACTTTTGACCTGAGGTTTCTGCCCGGTGGGATAACACAGACCTTTGTCCCTGAGTGGTCTGGTTCCCCATTTCTCTGCCCTTGTCAGTATCTGTCACTGTAATGGTCTATTCATAATCATCACTTGGCATGAAAGCACCAAGATGATGTGCCCAGTGAATTCCCGGGTTCCAGATCTGCTGCTTCCTGCCCCATTATGTAGCTGCATCACCTCAGAATAATTGGCGTGACTTTCCCCTGTCTGTATAGTACCACCTTTCTCTGCTTATCTCTCAGTGGGGGTGGCGTTAGAACTGGGTAATGGGCAGAGGCTGTAAGAGTTTGGAGGGCCCAGAAGACAGGAAGACAAGAGAAAGTTCTGAACTTCCTAGGGACTGTTTAAATAATTGTGACCAAAATGCTGATAGAAATATGGACAGTGAAGGCCAGGCTGAGGAGGTCTCAGATGGAAATAAGAAACTATTGAAAACTGGAGCAAAGGAGGTCACCCTTGTTATGTCTTAACAAAGAATTCTGTGTATACACCCTGGGAATTTGTGGAAGGTTGAACTTAAGAGTGATGACCCAGGGTATCTGGTGTAAGAAATTTCTAAGCAGTAAACGTTCAAGAAGTAGTGTAGCTGCTTCGACCTGTATAATCAGATGTGAGAGTAAAGGAATGACTTAAAGTTATAACTTACATTTAAAAGGGAAGCAGAACATAAAAATGTGGAAAATTTGCAGCCTGGAGATACAGTAGAGAAGGAAAGAACATTTTCAGGAAAGAAATTCAAGTGGGCTGTGAGCAACTATTTGTCAGAGTGATTGGCATGACTAAAAGGGAGCCAAGTGCTAATATCCAGGATAATGGGAAAAAGTCATTGAAGACATCCCATCACAGGTTCGGAGGCTTAGGAGGAAAGAATGGTTTTGTGGGCCAAGCCCGGGATGCCACTGCCCTGCATCACCCTGGGAGACTGCTCCTTGTGTCCTTGTTGCTCCAGCTCCACCCCTTGCTCAAGGGGACCCAGTTTCTCTGGTCACCACTCTAGAGAGTGCAAGCTGCCGTAAGCCTTGGTGGCTTCCATGTGGTGTTGAGCCTACAGGTGCAGAGAATGCAAGAGTGAAGGAGCCTTGATGATTTTCACCTAGATTTCAGAGGATGTATGTATGGGAAAGCTGGGGTGCCCAGGCAGAAGCCTGCCACAGACATGAATCCCTTACAGAGAGACTCTGTGAGGGCAGTGCTGAGAGGAAGTGTAAAGTTGGTGCTCTTACAGAGTCCCCACCAGGCCACTGCCTAGTGGAGCTGTAAGAGGGCCACCACCCTCCAGACCCCAGAATGGGAGCTCCACTGGCAGCTTGCACCCTGAGCCTGGAAAAGCCACAGGCTTTGAATTTCCATGAACAACCCATGAGAGCAGCCGTGAAGTCTGCACCCTGCAAATCTGCAAGGGCGGAGTTGCCCAAGGCCTTGGGAGCCCAGGATGTGGGACATGGAGTCAAAGATGATAAGCTTTCATGTTTGCCCTGCTGGGTTTTGGACCTGTGTGGGGCATATTGCACCTATCTTTTGGCTGATTTCTCCCTTTTGGAATGGAAGCGTCTGTCCAATGCCCATATTCCCATTGTATCCTGGGAGTAAATGACTTCTTTTATCTTACAGGATCTTAGGTAGAAGAAACTTGTCTTGAGTCTCAAATGAGACTGGATTTTTGATTGAGTGGATAAAGAATTAAAACTTTGGGGGACTACTAGGAGGGGATAATTGTATTTTGCAGTGAGAAGGACATAAGATTTGGGGATGTTTGTCCCCTCCAATTCTCATGTTGAAATGTAATTCCCAATGTTGGAAGTAGGGCCTGGTGGGAGGTATTCGGGTTGTGGGGGTGGATCCCACATGAGTCGTTTAGCGCCATCCTCTTGCTAATGAGTTCTTGCTCTGGTGGTTTACAGAAAAGCTGGTTGTTTAGAGCCTGGCTCCCCCCGCCCCCCACTTTTGCTCCCTCTCTCAACATGTGATATGCTGCTCCTTTTTTTTCTTCCACCATGATTGGAAGCTTCCTGAGGCCTCACCAGCAGATGCTGGCACCATACAGCCTGTACAGCCTGCAGAACTGTGAGCCCACGTAAACTTTTTTTAAAAATAAATTATCCAGCCTCAGGTACTTCTTCATGGCAACACAGACAGACTAGTACACTAGAGTTGACATAAAATACAGGACATCTAGTTAAAAGTGCATTTCAGATTAAAAAAATACAATTTCAGTATAAGTGTGTCTTTGGAACATATAGTAAAAAAACTGTTAGTCTGATATTAAAGATGCAGCACAAAGATGTCTTTTTTTTTTTTTTTTTAAGATGGAGTCTCGCTCCTGTCACATAGGCTGGAGTGCAGTGGCGTGATCTTGGCTCACTGCAACCTCCACCTCCTGGATTCAAGTGATTCTTCTTCCTCAGCTTCCCTGGTACCTGGGATTACAGGCATGTGACACCACGCCCGGCTAATTTCTGTATTTTTTTTTAGAGATGAGGTTTCGCCATGTTGTCCAGGCTGATCTCGAACTCCTGACCTCAGATGGTCCACCCACCTCGGCTTCCCAAAGTGCTAGGATTACAGGCGTGAGCCACTGTGCCCGCCTCCCCCCCGGCTTTTTTTTTTTTTTTTGAGATGGAGTCTCACTCTGTTTGCCCAGGCTGGAGTGCAGTGGTGCAATCTTGGCTCACTGCAACCTCTGCTCACCAGGTTCAAGCAATTTCTCCTGTCTCAGCCTCCCAACTAGCTGGGATTACAGGCGTACAACACAACACCTGGCATTTTTTTTTTTTTTTTTTTTTTTTGTATTTTTAGTAGAGACAGGGTTTCGCTATGTTGGCCAGGCTGCTCTCGAACTCCTGACCTCAGGTGATCCACTGCCTGGGCCTCCTGAAGTGCTGGGATTACAGATGTGAGCCACTGAGCCTGGCCCCACAAAGATGACTCCTATGCTTATGTGGTAGAAGTGATTTAGAAGATTTCAAAGATGGAATGATACTTTTATACTAAAAAATTTATAACCATCTCTCTATATAAAATGTCAGCATATTCAAAGCATTATACAGTAGGAAAAAATGGCATGTTCCATGTAATGTTTGGGGCATACTATCATTTACCTGAAAGTCAAACTTAATTCAAACGTTACCAAGTGTTCTGTATTTTTATTTGCCACATCCAGCAACCTTTAGCTACAGATTGCCCTCTTTGAGTTTCATGACACGGCCATTTAAGAATCAAATTGAATAGTAACCGAGTGTCACATGGTGACTTGTCCCCTAATGGTAAATCCAATCAATGTCTGTGCCTTCAATGTCCCCGCCTCAATCTGTTAAACGCTTAGGTAACCAAGTGTCGGACACAAAGTTAAAAAATAGTCCTTGCTCTCATGGAGCTTGCCATATTCTAGGAGACATGTAGGCAGATGTGTAAAATCTGTTTCCTGGGGAGCAGGCACAGGCACAGATGGGGCACGATGACGCCTGCACATTGCAGTGGAGATCTTTCAGGAAGATTTCAGAGTGGATGACGTACTTTTATACTACAGCATTTAGAATCATCTCTTTCTCTAAGTACAATTCCAGAATATTGAAAGTATTATAAAATTTGGGAATAGACAACAACGTACACAAAAAGCCTAGTATCTATTTAAGGACTAAGTGTAGGGAAAAGACCCTTTTCCTGGAAAGACAGGAAAATAGCTTCTTCCTCTTTGATGGATCCAGAAAATCTGGGAGGGAGACACAAGTGTGGTGAGTCAGTGTGAGAAGTAATGTTTAATCTAGCTACTGAGTGGTATGATTTTTCAATTTCCTCCCTCATCCCTTTTTTTTTTTTTTAAAAAAAGAAAAGAATATCTGCTCTGACAACATTTCCTTTTTTTCTTCTTTTGGGATGGAATCTCACTCTGTCACCCAGGCTGGAGTGCAATGGTGTGATCTCGGCTCACTGCAACCTCCATGTCCTGGGTTAAAGCGATTCTCCTGCCTTAGCCTTCTGAGTAGCTGGGATTACAGGCGCGCACTACCACACCCAGCTAATTTTATGTATTTTTAGCAAAGACGGGGTTTCACCATGCTGGCCAGCTGGAACTGCCAGCATTTTCTTCATCCTCATCACTAATTACTTCTTCACCCACAAATGTCCTCTGCTAGAATGTGAGTTCCAAGTAGAGACAGATCAAAGAAAGGGAAGGAAACTTAGACCTTTGTTATGACACACTACTGAATTCTCCTCTTGCCTTTGTTCCCCTCAGGTGAAGAAAAGGATTGCTATTTTTCCACCATTATCACACCACAAATGCCCACATATATTTCTGTTGCCCTCAAGAGTTGTCATCATCTTAGTCAAGAAAAAAGGTAGTGAGAAAAAAACTGGAAGTTACTGGTATTTTGTCATTACTAAGTGACAGGGCATTAGGGATGATTTAATATTTCTATCCTTGTCCACTGTAAAAAAGGGAAGCTTAAAAACACAAATGTGGAAGGTTCCCAGCCTGAATACAAACGGTATTCAATTTCCAAGTCAAATGTGTCCAGACAGCAGGAGACATCTACTGATCCGTGAGATGGAGGAGCCTCCTTGGAACGAACGAATTCTGGCAGAAGGAGTACTTGTGAAGGGAAAACAGTTTAGTTCAAAAAGCAAGGCTTTGCAACACCACAGCAAATTTTAATTTAATGAAGGCTGTGCTCCAGCCATGTCTTGAGAGTGGGAAGAAAAGGCCGCAAACGAGCTCTGCCTCCACCGGCTCTGGGGACAGTGACGGTTCAATGACTCCTTCAGGATGCTCAACCCCGGGCCCAGGAACACAGCACAGGCCTCAGCCCTTCCACAATGAATACTTCTTAAAGGCATCAGCTGCAGCACCTTTGTTGCATAAAAATTCACTAAGTTCGAAAAAACCTCCCGACTTTTGGGCCCATTATTTATTATATAAAATTGTTTCCAGCAGTAGGGTTTAAGACAAAACACAAGTGAAATAAAATGTACAAGGCTGTTGCATAGAAACACTGAAAACACAGCTACGCCTTTTCACAATTCAGTAACACATACAAACACCGCCACAAACACCCTCCAATTCACAGTTTAGATTTCACTCATTCAATAACTGTTTTCTGAGTACCTTCATTACTGGGGATGCAGCAATGAACAACAAAGTCCCTGCTCTCATGGAGCCTCTGTTCTACGAGCGGGCAGGGAGACAGACATCAAACAAAACAAATACAGAACATGTCAGGTAGTCACTGGGTTCCTGCATGGGGGAAGGAAAGCTGCACACCCCAGCCCCTTAAGAGCAATTTCAGGCTGCTGTAAATGTCACAGCCTCTTTTGGGGGAAGACCCAAACTCTAAATTTTATATATAATAAAACTGGGGTCTGGCCATGTTGCCCAGGTTGATTGGTCTTGAACTCCTGGCTTGAAGTGATCTTCCTGTCTTGGCCTCCCAACGTACTGAGATGACAGGCATGAGCCACAGTGCCCAGCCCTAACTTATATTTTTAAAACTAATTTTTTTGTAAGTGGCAAATTTCTGGTCAGACTCTTAAAGTTACTAATTCTGGGGAGCATATCTAATTTTTAGTTACAAGCTATACTAAGTACTTGAAGTTCATACTAAGAGTAAGACCCACATCGTGTGGGTACATGTGCAGGTACATAAATGAATACGTTTACAGGCCCATGTCGGAAGTTACACATGTACATCACGTTAATCTGTATTACATATTAATATAAAACTATTTCTGGCTCTAATGATACAAGTCTTTCATATAAATTCGTAGATTATATTTAGTCTAAGAATTAACTATCAATATGCTAGTTCTGAGGCAGTTTATTGGTACCCCCAAGTGCACGGTATTTCTAAGTAAACATTTGTTCAGAAAAAATACTTGTCACTTAAGCATATGCTGATTAAGCAACATGTAGAACATAAAATTAAGAGTAGAGTGGAACTGCCTTTTTTTTTTTCTGAGACTGAGTCTTGCTCTGTCATCGAGGCTGGAGTGCAGTGGCACAATCTTGGCTCACTGCAACCCCTGCCTCCTGGGTTCAAGCGATTCTCCTGCCTTGGCCTCCTGAGTAGCTGGGATTACAGGCGCACGACACCGTGCCCAGCTAATTTTTGTATTTTTAGTAGAGACAGGGTTTCACCATGTTGGTCAGGCTGCTCTAGAACTCCTAACCTCATGCCTCCCAAAGTGCTGGGATTACAGGTGTGAGCCACTGCTCCCGGCCGGAACTGCCTTTTCAAGTCTGGTGCTCAGTGCTCGTTCACTGAAAACCAGATAGTCTCAAAACCTGAACCCTTGTGCTCCTAATTCCTAGAGACCTAACAATTTCACTGGTGTCTTTTAATGTTAATTTCCGTATTTTCCCTTCTCCACATCCTGCAAAGGCATTGCTCCTTTTTAGGCTAACCAGTCTGAAGCGTGTTTTCCCACTGAAGAACACAGGGCTGGAAGTTCTGGACAGGATCCTTGAATTGGGTGGTCTGAGAAGCAATGGTGGCAGGGAGTCGTGAGATGTTCCCAATCGCCTCTTCAAAGGGCAAACTTCCAAAGTGACAGCGCTTTTACAAAGGTCAGGCCAACACAGCAGATGTACTTCAAACCAAACGCCTCTGGTCAGGAAGATGAAAAGGTGTCACCGTGGGGTTCTCCAGCAGAGAGCTGTATCTCAGAGATTCCTGGGTCTCCTCAATGGCCCACTATGCTCTGCTTGAACCACTCCAGAAGCCAGGCGGCAGATCCGGGAACACGCATGCTGTGGCCTGCAGACTGGTGTATGTGCCCCGGATGAGCTGAGCTCACAGCTCCCCCCTAAGGCAGCTGCCTTCAACCTTTTCTTCCACCAGGACAATCTGCTATCTGAGCAGAAATGACTACTGAAATCAGACTGGCCTTAGCAATGGCTGCTCCCCAGCACGCTCTTAACTCTGTCTCCTTTCTCTTTCACCTGGTCCCTGCCAGACAGTGCTATGAGAACTCTGCTCTAGAGGCCACCAGAATTCCCAGACTTCCTGCCTATTAAGGATATCCATGGGTAATTCCAAATAGCAAGTAATTTAAAAATAAATTGTAAGTGCCTTTGGAAAGCATTATGTGATTTCTTAAATTAGATTTTTCTTCCTAGTTACCTTTTTTCCCTCAGTTCAATGATTTGTATTTTAAAGCCAAGCAGGCTGAGTAGAAGGGGTATCTGAATACTGCTAGGCAATTGCAGAGAAGCCAGCTTGGTACTGAAAGTGACACAGATGAGCCATAACAAGAGTGTGTGAATCACTGAGAGCTGAAGAGGCGGCACAGGCTCCCATGGAACGCATTCTTCCTCTTGCACCAGAGCCAGCAACCTCTTTCCTGCGGAAGTCTTCTTCTTCTGTGTCAGTCTCCCAGCACTGCCACTTTCTGGTCCCAAGGCTTCTTGCATACACTGTCTCCTGGCATGGCATGTATATTAAAACTTGTACACACTCTCAGACCTTAAATATAACCATCATTTCTCTAATTAGTTACCTATTTTCTATGACTTCAGTGACTGCAAATTCCAGCCAGAAGCTATTGTTCTGGTAAGTTTTGAATCGGAAGTGTTAATGAATAGTAAAAGATTGCCTGGCTTTAATCCTAAACCATGTAAGGGTAGATACTGTGATGTGGAAACCAACGTTCTCGGGATAAACAAACGGAAGTCTCTGAACATTTTTAGAGAGCATCTTTCTGGCACCTGCAGCTGCTTTCTGGGGTAAGCTACTTTCCAGAAAACCAAGTGATAATGTGTTCAGACTTTCCTAGATAAACTTCCTAAGGGCCTACCTCAGTGTTAAAAGAAAAGACCAGATGTCTGAAATCTCTCCTGAGGAAGAATGAAATAGAATGCTAGGAATGCCAGCAGACAGGTAGGACACATGCAGTGGGCAGCAGCACCGGTGACAGGAACACAGCTGCCATCCTTAGCCACAGTGCATGGCTAGCTCAGTGGCACTTGGGCTGGCAGGAGGGAGACGGGTGGCCATCATTTTGATGTGACTCATCTCATCCAATGCAAGTCCAGTGACAGGCTTTTTCAAGATTTTACACATGGAAAAGAATGTAGGAAATGTTTGTCTCAACTCTTGCAATTTCTCTTCTTCCTTTTTTTTTTTTTTTTTTTTTTTGAGAGGGAGTCTCACTCTGTCGCCCAGGCTGGAGTGCAGTGGCATAATCTTGGCTCACTGCAACCTCCACCTCCCAGTTTCAAGCAATTCTCCTGTCGCAGCCTCCCCGGTAGCTGGGATTACAGGCATGCACCACCACACCCGGCTAATTTTTGTGTTTTTAGTAGAGACGGGGTTTCACCATGTTGGCCAGGCTGTTCTTGAACTCCTGACCTCAGGTGATCTGCCCACCTTGGCCTCCCAAAGTGCTGGGATTACAGGCATGAGCCACTGCGCCTGGCGTAGTTTCATTTTTAAATAGTTAAGTGCTTACCTGTATGTTTAGGATCTATAACTGAAGATGTTTTTTCTTCCCCCAAACAAGCAAATGTCCTCTTTGCAGTGACTGAGAGGAAGGCAAGGAGCTCAGGCTCCCAGTGTGACTCCTGCAGAAAAACCTTATGCTTTACAGAGTTCATTTCCGGTCATACAAAGTCCTGCTGTAGTTCTTCACTTGTTTTACTTTCACTTTCATCTTCATTAGAATAATTTCCTGAATCCTGGCAGTTTTGGGAACTGTATTTTTTATGATCTTCATCAGTTTGATTAGTTTCTTCTACTGTAGCAATTGTGCTTATATTTTCAATTATAAAACATTTTTCAATTTGTTCTTCAGAAGTTGAAAGCAGAAGATTCTTTAATGGCTGTTCAGAGAAATACTAATTTAAAAAGAGGGAAAGAATAGAAATCAATTATTTAGAATAATAATTCCTTTTCTAGTTATAATAGCTTTAGTTTCTTATGTCAATTGCTGAGAAAACCATCTTCTGGCATTAAAAATTAAAAAGTCACCTAAGAACATACTAATTGCCTTACAATATTTAAAATCAACATTGGTGAGGTCACTCATATCTTAGCACCTTTTGTGGTGAGTCTTTGAAGAGCGCCTGAGTAGAAGGTACACTGTACCATCAAGAGTAGGTGGGGGATGAATTCGGGAAAGGACAGGCGTGGGAGGGCACTGAGATCATGACATTTTTTTTTGACATAATAACAATTTTTGTATCCAATCCATAGATATCCAGAAGAAGCACAAGTGAGAAATTATTAGCTACTGTAACTAAGTCTGTTTTAAATAATAGCTATGAATATTAGTACATAGCAATGACATTTAAAAACTAGGGGTAAAATTGTTACTATTTACTGAGCAGTTTCAGAGTGGTGAGATTCTCTGGTTTATCTCCTTTGCTCCTCACACCTCTACAGGGTGGTTTACAGCCAAGGGTGCTTGCTTACTTCCCTTTAAATGATTTTCTCAAGTTCACAAAACCCACCCTAGATGAACACATCCCAGGAACAGATTCTATGCTTAGGCGTTCACCATATAGTGTTTTCATTTAATATGCTAACTTCATAGAAGTGCCAAACAAAAAGCTGTTCTGTGTCATGAAAAACAATTCTCATGTTTTCAGTTATTTCGTTTTATGTGATTTCATCCATAGAGTATACTTTCTACACTGATTGAATATTTCAGGCTTCTGGATATATACAGATGCTCCTAACTTACGATGGGATTATGTCCTGACAAACACATCACAAATCGAAACAGTGTAACTCGGGGACTGTCTGTGCTGTGAAGAATCATATCACAGACTTTATTTCCTCATTTAGAGACAGAGTCTCACTCTGTCACCCAGGCTGGAGTGCAATGGTGTGATCTCGGCTAACTGCAACCTCCACCTCCCAGGTTCAAGTGGTCCTCCTGCCTCGGCCTCTTGAGTAACTGGGATTACAGGTGGGTGCCACCACGCCCAACTAATTTTTATATTTTTAGTAGAGAAGGAGTTTCACCACGTAGGCCAGGCTGGTCTCGAACTCCTGACCTCAAGTGATCCACAAAATGGATCCTCCAGTGATCCTCACCTCAAGTGAGCCAGCCTCCCAAAGTGCTGGGATTACAGGTGTGAGCCACTGTGCCCAGCCAAGAATCACAGACTTTAAATGGTTAAACAAATGCCACAGTGAATCTAGGAATTGCCAGAGTTGCCAGAAAAATAGGGAATTAAGGACAATCATTTCTATCCCATGCTATATTATATTAAATTACTATTTCTAAAGTTAATTGACTAAAATTTTGAAGAAAATACCCAAATCAGTTTCCATTATTTTCTGGATATATCCTGTTGAAATCAAACACATTTCCTGTTCATTTCCTAGCTGTTGACAAAAAAAATACAAAAAGCACATACCTCATCTATATTGGAAGAAGGTTTAAGTGATGGAAAGAACACATAATTGATGCATCTCAGGAGAACTTTCACAACATAAATGACAGCTAGGATAGTAATTGATACAGTACCAATTCCAGCTATAAGCCAAATGTTAGACGCATTTCCTAAAAATACATACATGATGTTTAGCATGAATGTTTTGACATATAAATGTAATAGTGCTGATAGCTTATGTGAAAGACTAGCCATATGAAAGGAAATACAAAATCTATTAAATAATACTTTTTTTTTTAGATGGAGTTTCACTCTTATTATCCAGGCTGGAGTGCAATGGTGCAATCTCAGCTCACCACAACCTCCACCTCCCAGGTTCAAGTGATTCTCCTGCCTCAGCCTCCAGAGTAGCTGGGATTACAGGTATGTGCCACCATGCTCAGTTAATTTTGTATTTTTAGTAGAGATGGGGTTTCTCTCTATGTTGGTCAGGCTGGTCTCAAACTCCCGACCTCAGGTGATCTACCTGCCTTGGCCTCCCTAAGTGCTGGGATTACAGGCATTGAGCCACTGTGCCTGGCCTACATAATACCCTTAAAAATACTTCTGGTAGCACTGAGTCCACAGCAACTATAGACAATGACGTTTACATTTAAAGATTGGTGTGGAACTGAAGTAAGAGAACCTCAGGGAGGAAGACAATATTGACATACAAGCCAAACATGCAAGCGTCCTTCAGCACTTTTAAGTCATACAGCTAGCAAAATTTAATAGATATTCTGTGACTAAGCCTCTACCAGTCAATACCAGAAACTGTAAAATAGAAAATGAGACTAAACCAGTTCCCACATAAAAAAAACTCACAATTGAACTAAGTGATTTCCACATGATAAATATGTTAAGGATTATATTTTAAAAATTTAAAACTATAATCTGATTAAATGTTAAAGAGCAACAAATTAATTAATTATATTGATACTAGATGAAATATAAAGCATTCAAAAACGCTGAATTGAGAATTAAGCATTACAAGTATTTTCTAAAAAGTCTACTTTTGATTCATATAGTTCATGAAGAAAACATTCTATATATTTTTTGCAGTAAAGAGAAAATGTTTTACAACAGTATTGAATTACTTTTATTATATCTAGTTACATTTTTTAAAAAGACAATAAAAGATTCTGACCTGGCTTTGTTTTCACAAACACAACATCACCAAAAGCACTGCTTTTATTCCACTTTTCATCCATGGTGTGTGCTCTGGCTTTGACACAATATACAGTCAGTGGTTTCAAATTAGGAACAATAAAATCAGTTTTTTCCTTGAAAATTTTTCTCTAGAAAACATAATTAAATCATTGAAAAAATTTAGTCACCTCATGAAATCAGGAAATATGTAGTTTCTCAATTCTTTTATGTTGAATCTAAGATTGGCCTCTCCTACGTAGTTGGAATGTGTTGTTGTTTTTTTTTGAGACAGTCTCACTCTGTCACCCAGGCTAGAGTGCAGTAGTGCAATCTGGGCTCACTGCAACCTCCTCCTAGGTTCAAGCGATTCTCCTGCCTCAGCCTCTTGAGCAGCTGGGATTATAGATGCAGATGCCACCATGCCCAGCTAATTTTTTTTTTTTTTTTTTGGTAGGGATGGGGTTTCACCATGTTGGCCAGGCTGGTCTTGAACTCCTGGCCTCAAGTGATCCATCCACCTCAGCCTCCCAAAGTGCTAGGATTACAGGGTATATGTTTAAGAAATATAAATTTGTTGGCAGAGCACGGTGGCTCAGGCCTATAATCCCAGCAGCACTTTGGGAGGCTGAGGTGAGCATATCATGAGGTCAGGAGTTTGAGACCAGCCTGACCAACATGGTGAAACCCCATCTCTATTAAAAATACAAAAATTAGCCGAGTGTGGTGGTGCGTGCCTGTAATCCCAGCTACTCAGGAGGCTGAAGCAGGAGAATGCCTTGAACCCAGGAGGCAGAGGTTGCACTGAGCCGAGATTACACCCCTGCACTTCAGCCTGGGTAACAGAGAGGGACTCCATTAAAGAAAAAAAAAAAAATGTAAATTTGTTTCAGACAACCCATTATAACCAAATCAGAAAGTTAAAAATGCTGCTGCCAAAAAAGCATATGATATATTCCTAACAGAACTCTAGTTTATTTATAAGTACATGCTAGATCTGGTGTAATTGCCACTGTATTACCTCTGAGTAGTGACAGAATGGTTAAGAATAGGGGTTTTGGCCTCAAACTTCCTTATTAAGAGGTATTGCTTACAGCTGTGTGGTCTTGCCTGCGTGGACTTGCCTGGGATTCACACCTGTAATCCCAGCACTTTGAGAGGTCAAGCAGGAGGATCATTGGAACCCAGGAGTTCAAGACCAGCCTGGGCAACATAGCAAGACTCTGTCTCTACAAGAAATTTCAAAAAAAATTAGCCAGGTATGGTGGCATGAGCCTGTAGTCTCTGCTACTTAAGAGGCTGAGGGAGCCAAAACAAACAAACAAACAAAAAACCTGGGCAACATGGTGGTAAAACTCCATCTCTACAAAAAAATACAAAAAATTAGCTGGGCATGGTGGCATGTGCCTGTAGTCCCAGCTACTTGGGAAGCTGAGATGAGAGGATCACTTAAGACCAGGAAGTCAAGGCTGCAGTGAGCTGACATCACATCACTGCACTCCAGCCTGGGCAACAGAATGAGAACCTGCATATATATATAAATGTATAACAAAACCACTTCAACATTCAGTGGCTCACAGCATCATTACGTAGTTTTCTCACTCACAAGTCTACAGATTGGCTGGGGAGTTCCCATGGAGGCCGTGCATGGGGTTTAGTTCAGCTCCACCAGGCCAAACCCCGAAAGCACACTTAAGGCCTCTGCTCTCAGTGCATCTACTCGGGCTCCAGCAACCACAGTCCAGCGATGCATGAATGAAGGCAACATCGCAAGTATTTGCCAAACAGCAATTTAACTGATTATATCATCTGGCAGTGTTGTTTTGAAGAATGATCGAGACAATTCACGTACAATACTTAGCATAGTACCTTACACATAAGTATTCACTAACTTTTGTTTTTGTTTTTGAGATGGAGTCTCACTTCCATTGCACAGGCTGGAGTGCGATCTCAGCTCACTGCAACCTCCACCTCCTGGGTTCAAGCGATTCTCTTTCCTCAGCTTCCCAAGTGGTTGGGATTACAGGCGTGTGCCACCATACCCAGCTAATTTTTGTATTTTTGGTAGAGATGGGGTTTCACCATGTTGGCCAGTCTGGTCTCGAACTCCTGACCTCAGGTGATTCACTCTCCTCTCCCTCCCAAAGTGCTAGGATTACAGGCATATGCTGCCACGTCTGGCCTCAATACTGTAAGAGTTTCTATAATTATTGATGTATTATCCAGTATAGGACAAGACAGCAACTACAATTTATTGAATCTCTACTACTTGTCCAGCAATGTACTTGGTATTTTAATATTTGTTACTTCCTTTTAAACCTTATAAACATCCTTTTGAAAAATTTAGTTGCTATGATTACCACCACTTCAGAGAAGAGGAAGCAAAGTCTCCAAGAGGTAAAACACCTTGCATAAGGTCACACAATTTAGTAGTGTGAGATACAAACTTAGGCTTGTCTGATCTACAGGCATCTGAAAACTGACCGTAATTCTCAGTGGGCTACATTATGCTATGGTTACAGTGTGATTCAGTTAAAAAGGGAAGCAGCCCAATCAATGCAATTTGCTTAGATTTCAAATAGAAAATGAAGTCAAAGAATTTACCGCCTGACTGCACAGGATTTTTAAAGGTCGATCCTTGACTATAATTCCACAAGGGAAAAGCCATCTGGGAAACAGGGATTAGCTGATGGTGTATGTTATCTTTGTCAGTGGTATCTGAATTTTAGGGTTTGGACCAGTGTTTGTCAACTCTCTGTTCATTACCTCCCCCACTCAACAACTTTCCGGCAATGTTTTTCTAATCCTTTCCCATCATAAAATTAAATACTAAGGAATAAGACTTTGTTGGGCAAAGCTAACTTTGGGAGAATGCTTTTCAATGCTTTTGGAGCAACACAAACAATTGTACTGTCTAAGATTCTTTTGTCCCATAAGAACCAATTTTTGTCCCCTTGGAGGTGCCACCAGGGGACATTTGACAATATCTGGAGATGTTTTTGATTTCACAACTAGGAAGGAACACTACTGGCATCTTGTGGGTAGAAACCACAATGTTGCTAAGCATCTTGAACCACACGGGACAGCCCCCTCCCAAGGAATTATCCGGCCCAAAAGTCAACAGCGCTGAGAAACATGGGTTTAGATGAATACATGGGAATGATGTTAAAAATGCAAATTCCTGAGTTCCACCCCCAGAGAGTCTGACTTAGTAACAACAACAGGCTCAGGAATCTGTATTTTGAAAGCAAACTGGGGCCCAGATGCAGCTCACCCATAACTCTACCATGCAAAATATGAAAAATGCTCATGTTCTTCATACTGTAAATATCTTAATCACATTAAAAAATTTTTTTTTTAATTTTGAGACAGGCTGTTAGTCACTCTGTCACCCAGGCCAGAGTGCAGTGGCATGATGATAGCTCATTGCAGCCTTCACCTCCCAGGCTCAAGCAATCCTCCCACCCCAGCCTCCCAAGTAGCTGGGAATACAGGTGCACGCCACCGCACCAGGCTAATTTTTAAAAATTTTTGTTGAGACAGGGTCTCTCTATGTTGCCCATGCTGGTCCCAAACCTCTTGGCTCAAGTGATTCTTTCATCTCGGCCTCCTGAAGTGCTGGGATTACAGGCCACTGCACCCAGCCCACATAAAGTAAAAAATTTCCTCCCAATTTTAAATTAAGCTTTATTTACCTAAATCAGTTATAACTCTAAGTTACAAAATAATACTATACAGTCTTTTTACCTCAGCATTTGAAGTGTTTTCCCAAAAAATAATTTCATAAGTGAGTGGATAATCCTGGTTCACAGGCTTGCTTCCCGACTGTTCTGGAGCACCAATATAGATATGTAATGAATCACTAGTGGATCTAACTTTAAGGACCGGAGGAAGTAGGAAAGCTAGAAAAAAATTTATAAGGCCATAACGTTCAATTAGAAAAACAATTTTAAGAACTTGCACCAAATCAGAGAATTACAATCTCAAGTAAAACCTACTGCCTTACCTTGTATTTCAGTATCAAACTTTATCTCTTCAGACCAAAAAGATGTGTTATTTCCATCAGATGCTTGTACGCGGAGAAAGTAAATTCCTTTTGGGAAAATGTTTTGAGGAAAGACACACTGGGTAGTTTTGACATTTTCACAATTAGGCATTTGTTTCCATTTATATGAATGGTTCACAGGATTCCTTTTTAAAAAGGCGCTTTTAAGACAAAAATTTTTAAATTCAACCACACAGTAATTTAATAAATATTTAGTAAGTATTTACAATCTGCCAGACACTATGTTAGGGGCTAAGGTTACAGAAATAAACAGCATCCACCCTCAGGAAATTCACAAACAGTGGAAGAGATAAGCATCTATCATAAAAGAAAACCGGAAGACTGCTCCAGACTGTGAGAAAGTGCTCTTTGCTGGAGGTGGTTCATAGCAACGTGGAAGAACATCTGTTAGAATTTCCAGGAAACACTGCAAGCTGGTTTGTGTGTGTTTCTTTTTTCTTTTGAGACGGAGTCTCACTCTGTCACCTAGGCTGGAGTGCAGTGGTGGGATCTCAGCTCAATGCAACCTCTGCCTCCTGGGTTCAAGCAATTTTCCTGCCTCTGTCCCCCTGAGTAGCTGGGATTACAGGCACACACCATCAAGCCCGGCTAATCTTTGTATTTTTAGTAGAGACAGGGTTTCACCACGTGGGCCAGGCTGGTCTCGAACTCCTGACCTCGGGTGATCCACCCGCCTCAGCCTTCCAAAGTGCAAGCTGGTTTTTAAATGAAAACCATTATTAAAAATTTAAGTTATAAAAATTTGCAAATAAAAAATTGTTTTAAAGACAGAGGTAATAAATAGTCAAAATTCCATCTTGTCCTAATTCTTTTACTTCATTTTATTGTCTATGCTCTTGGGGCTATCTTTCTCTATTGTAGCAGGATGATAATGGGGTGCTACAGTGCCTATCTTCCAACTCCATGTTCAGGGACATCAGTCTGGTAGCTAGAAAGCGGCCATGGTGGAAATATTAATATCATAAAAATAAGCAAACACTACAAAATAGGAGTTTTTCTTTTTGGAAAGCCAGCTGCTAAACATGCGCCAGCATACCAATTGAAAAATCTACAACAGAGACACACCACAGTGTTATGAGAGCAAGTATACAAGCATGAGACTGAAGAGGTTAAGCAACTTGCTCGGAAAGCAACAGCTAAAAGCATCTCAGCCCCAGCCCAGAACTCTAACAGCCTCCTAACTGGTTTCCTTGTCTCTCCCTAGTGTCTCCTTAGTCCACTGCCCCACGTACCATGTCGCCATGTGTGCCTTCCTCAAATCCAGAGCTCAGGGTAACTGTCACCCCGACATAAAATCCCAAAAGCCTATAGGACAGACTGAGGCTGACCCTAATCTTGTCCCATTCTACTTATTCAGCTTTCTTCCTATTGCAATCTGGTGTCCGAATGTTCTGCTACTCTGCTCCAGGCTGGAGTGCAGTGGTGTGATGTCGGATCACTGCACTCCCCCCACAGAAAGACATCCTCCCCACTGGAGAAGGCAAAATTCTGATATGGCCCCCAAGATTCCTACCCCATGAAGCACTCATCCTGTACAATCCCCTCCCCTTGAGTATGGGCAGGATCTGTAAATACGATGGGGGCCCTCCTCTTATAATTAGGTTACATTAAGTGGCAGAGGAGAAGGTACTTCACAGATGTAATTAAGGTCCCAAATCAGTTGATTCCTAGTTAATCAAATGAGAGACTATCCTGGGTGGCCCTGACCTAATCAGATGAGCCCCTTCAAAGAGGATCTAGGCCAGGCGCGGTGGCTCACGCCTGTAATCCCAGCACGTTGGGAGGCTGAGGCTGGTGGATCACTTGAGGCCAAGAGTTTGTGACCAGTCTGACCAACATGGTGACATCCTGTCTCTACTAAAACCACAAAAATTAGCTGGGTATGGTGGCACGTGCCTATAGTTCCAGCCACTCAGGAGGTTGAGGTAGGAAAATTGCTTGAACTCAGGAGGCAGAGGTTGCAGTGAGCCAAGATTGTGCCACTGCACTCTAGCCTAGGTGACAGAGAGACTCTGTCTCAAAAACAAACAAACAAATAAAACAAACAAACAAAAAACACACAAAAAAATTAGCCAGGCATGGTGTATGCCTGTAGTCCCAGCTACTCAGGAGGCTGAGGCAGGAGAATCACTTGAACCCAGGAGCTGGAGGTTGCAGTGAGCCAAGGCCATGCCATTGCACTCCAGCCTGGGTGACAGAGCGAAACTCCATCTCAAAAAGAAAAAAAAAAAAAAAGGATCTAAAGGTCAGACTCTCCCTTCCTGATGGCCTCTGAGAAGTGAGCCCCCATGAGTTCTAGGGCTGCAAGAGATAAATTCTGCCAACAACATGTGAGCTTGGGAGCGGACCCTGAGTCATGTATGAGACTGACACCTTGACTGCTTAGCAGAAGATGCAGCTAAGCCATGTTTGGACTCCTGACTCAGAAGCTTTGAGACAATAAACAGCTGTTTAAGTTGCTAGGTCTGTGGTAACTTGTTACAGAAATGGAAAACTAGTATCTAATACTTGTCATTTTAAAAAAAATATGAATTAACAATCAAGGCCTTGTTCATACCTCATCTCTTTCCTTGTGGCTTCTTTGGTCTCTTCAGCCCCTATTCACCTTTACATTTTCCATTTCTGAACCCTTATCATTTGTATACTCTCTTCAGTCCTAAACCACACAACGCTTTGCAGTGTCGGCTAACTGCTTTACATTTCTAGAATCATGTTTCATTCTGTTGACTCTTTCCATTTCTTCAGTACAATGTGCTAAGTACCCAAAAGAAGCTTAGAGATCAGCCATCAGAAATCCCTATCATTATCTATTTGGTGACCCTATTATTTATGCACTTCTGAAAGTGAGGTATACACAAAAGATTACTGAACAGTTTCCTGGTTGGTTTGTGAGGTTATATATGTATTGTGGGGCACATATGCACATGAATACATTTCCGTCCTACCCATCACCCTTGGTTCAAAATTAACACTAAAAGATGGAGAGAAACTGATCACAGCAGTACTCATAGTTCCCTTCTCCCTCACTTTTTCTGTCTCTTTCCAGTCTTTTCTAACCTTTCCTTTCCTGTCTTAGCTATACTTTCCTTTGCTCTCTCTACTCCTCTGTCACCAATGTATATCTTTCTTTCCATCTCTTCTCTCCCCATAACCCACTTTTCCTTCTACTTAATTTTCTTCTTTCTATTCATCCCCTACAATTTTCCAATCAATATAAACTACATGCAGTTTTCTTTTATGAGTTTTTTAATTTTAATTTTTAGAGACGCACTCAGTTGCCCCAGCTGCAGTGTGGCAGCTATCTGTGGGTGTGATCATAGCGCACTGCAGCCTTAATTCCTGGCCTCAAGTAATCCTCCTGCCTCAGCCCACTGAGTAGCTGGGACTATAGGCACGCACCACTGCACCTGGCCAGTTCTCTTTCATTTATGCAGTGCCTAGATTTCATCTGTATTTAGCTAGTCTCTACTCAATCACACAGAACACAGTTCTTTCCAACTTTCATTAATTTCCCACTGAAGGAACCACTACAAAATTTTGTCAAAACCACTAAAGTAATAAAGAAAATAGGAAGGCTAAGGTTTTGAATTGAACAAGCAAGTTAACTGAGATCATTTTAAGGACTCATGGAAGAAGTGAGTTCTTTTTTTTTTTTTTTGAGACGGAGTTTCGCTCTTGTTACCCAGGCTGGTGTGCAATGGCGCAATCTCGGCTCACCGCAACCTCCGCCTCCCGGGTTCAGGCAATTCTCCTGCCCCAGCCTCCTGAGTCGCTGGGATTACAGGCACGCGCCACCATGCCCAGCTAATTTTTTGTAGTTTTAGTAGAGACGGGGTTTCACCATGTTGACCAGGATGGTCTCGATCTCTTGACCTCGTGATCCACCCGCCTCGGCCTCCCACAGTGCTGGGATTACAGGTTTGAGCCACCGTGCCCGGCCTAGAAGTGAGTTCTTAAGAAAAAGATCAGGCCGGGTGCAGTGGCTTATGCCTGTAATCCCAGCACTTTGGGAGGCTGAGGCGGGTGGATCACGAGGTCAGGAGATCAAGACTAGCCTGGCCAATATGGTGAAACTTCGTCTCTACTAAAAACACAAAAACATTAGCTGGGTGTGGTGGTGGGCACCTGTAATCTTAGCTACTTGGGAGGCTGAGGCAAAGAACTGCTTGAACTCGGGAGGTAGAGGTTGCAGTAAGCCAAGAGTGTGCCACTGCACTCCAGCCTGGGCGACAGAGCAAGACTCCATCTCAAAAAAAGAAAAAAAAAAAAAAGAAAAAGATCAGGGCCAGTGTCAAGTATTCCAGGTTGGGGAAATAACACATGTAACTAGTCACACCTTTTTTTTTAAGCCAGTAAGAACCCTAGATATTAGAATACATACATCTATTTTACAAGTGAAGAAATTAAGGCCAATGGAGGTTAGTTACTGGCAGAACTAGGGTTAGAAATGAGATTTCTTAAGTTTCCAATATATCATACCTACCTCCCAGTTGGTCATTCCGTGTGCAAGGACCTGGTGACTGAAGCAGAGTGAAAAGAAGCATAATCAAAACACACTGGGCAAAAGGAAATGTATGGAATAGAACTTACTGGAGCCACTGAACTTGAAAGGTCACGTTTGCATATGCATAATCCCACTTAAGAACATAGCTCTCATTTTGAACACTGACTTGTATATTTTCTGGTGGAGGTAGTTTGTTTTCAACTAGAAGCCAAAGAAAATATATATTAAAAAAAAGCATACATCTTTACTCAAGTGAGGTAACTGGCAAGAAGATAAAGGCTCACATTTTATCATTATAAGGTAATAGTTAAACATGGTTTTTATTCACACTATGTAATACTACCCAGCCATTTGAAAGAATACAGGCCGGGTGCAGTAGCTCAAGCGTATAATCCCAGCTCTTTGGGAGGCCGAGGTGGGTGGATCACCTGAGGTCAGGAGTTTGACACCAGCCTGGCCAACATGGCAAAACGCCATTTCTATTAAAAATACAAAAATTAGTTGGGCATGGTGGCACATGCCTGTAATCCCAGCTACTTGAGAGGCTGAGGCAGGAGAATTGCTTGAACCTAGGAGGCGCAGGTTGCAATGAGCCGAGATCATGCCACTACACTCCAGCTTGGGCAACAAAGTGAGACTATGTCTCAAAAAAAAAAAAAAAAAAAAGAATGCTAAGATTAAACGAAGAATGTAATAGATCTGTATGGACTGATACAGAATGATATCCCCAACACACTGGGTTAAGTAAGCAGGCTGTAAAGTACATCTAGTAAGATTTTATTTTGTAATTTAAAAAACAAAACCCAAGAAACTGTGGGTCTGTGTATATGGTTACGTAAGCTGAAAAAAGCTGTGAAAGGTTATACAGAAGCTGCTAAGCAGGGCTCATCTCTAGTGAATGGAATTGGGGGTAAGAAGGGAGAAGGACAAGACTTCACTTCAAACTCTTCTGTAATGTTTGATGAAAAAAAATAAAGCGTATAAAGTTTACAACAAAAATAATAAATCCCAGTTCCTACCCTTGACCTTAATTACTAGAAAGGTGTTACTGACTAAATACATCAGGATGCTTTCATGTTTTAACATTCCACTTATAAAGGTATACTTTCAGGAAGAATAACTTGTCTACTAGTTATTAGACAAGTTATTCTTCCTGAAAGTACACCTCTTCCCACTTGCAGAGCCCACAGTTCAGCTACCCCCCACCCTTTATGTGGATTCTGAACAAATGAATAGTTTTGTCATTACAAAATATTTGAACTTGTTTTTTCTTTTTTTTGAGACAGAGTCTTGCTCTGTTGCCAATGCGGGAGCGCAGTGGCGTGATCTTGGCTCACTGCAACCACTGTCTCTGGGGTTCAAGCGATTCTCCTGCCTCAGCCTCCTGGGTAACTGGGACTACAGGCATGCACCACCATGCCCAGCTAATTTTTGTATTTTTCGTAGAGACAGGGTTTCACCATGTTGGCTAGGCTAGTCTTGAACTCCTGACCTCATTATCCACCCCCTCGGCCTCCCAAAGTGCTGGGATTACAGGTGTGAGCCACCGCGCCTGGCCTTTTTTTTTCCTTTTTAAAATGGAGCCTTGCTCTTTGTCTCACTTTCTCCCCACAGGAGTGCAGTGGCATGATCCTGGCTCACCGCAACCAACACCTCCCAGGTTCAAGGGATTCTCGTGCCTCAGCCTCCCGAGTAGTTAGGACTACAGGTACATGCCACCATACCAGGTTAATTTTTTTTTTTTTTTTTGTATTTTTAATAGACATGGGGTTTTGTCATGTTGCCCAGGCTGTTCCTGAACTTCTGGCTTTAAGTGATCTGTCCACCTCAGCCTCCCAAAGTGCTGGTATTACAGTCGTGAGCCACCACGCCCAGCCTTAAGTAGAATTAATTTTCATTACTATTTGAGACAAAAGTCCCAAATAACATTTATTTTGCTTCTGTAAATGTTCTAATGTTTTTGTTTTAATCGATACTATCCTATCATATAAACTTCAGCAAATATGGGAAAAATGCCAAAATTATTGTAGATAATCTGTATATATATTTATTGAATCTAAAGCAAAACATTTTCCTTACCTGTGGTCTTTATACAATATACTGGACCATAGATACCAACTTTCCATGCCATAGGTAGTGCTGCTTTAACTTTTAAACAATAGGTAGTCTCTGGTAAAAGTTTATAAATTTTATGTATGGAATAAATATTTTCAATCTCTTCCTATAATAAAAATAGAAGTTGGTTCTTTAAAAAAGTATAAGGTCAAATTTTAAGATTAATTCACCTCATTTTTCTCTCACATCGATTAAACAAAGGTAAAAATAATGCTTACTTCTCCACTTGAAGAGTTTTTCCAGATAACTAAGCTGTATCTAAAGCCTGAACCATCCAAAGCCCACATGACACTATTTTTTGTTCCAGGAGGAGAGATGTTTATCATTATTGCCTTATCTTCAGCTTCCAAATGTACTTCTGGAGGACCAATTTGAGCTGCAAAAAAAAATCGAAAGAATTACTATGGATCTTTGTCAGTAACTAGCCCTACATCACCCATGGGTACCCAGAGTTCAGTGGTGACAAAGGCATGAGAAAAAGACAGATTAAGAGAGAAAGTGGGACCAGGGGGCCATCACTTATTACTGGAGTAGACAGTGAAGGCCCTGAGCTCTGATCATCCACACTATTTATTGATTACAACCACTTTGATCTATAGGATGGAGTGGAGTGATGGTGGAGTGAATCAGTGAACTGGAACTGGTGTGTCATCCTAAGGATAACATGGCGGGTTGGAAGTTTCACAAAACAAGAACATGTGGTTATCTTTAGCCTGTTATCTATGTGCAGCTGATGGAACACGGAGCTTACAAGGAGCCTACAAGTCTGGCTACCTCATACTGCTACGAAGGGGTTTTACATCCTTGAGCACAATGTTTAATGGTAACAGAGCCGAGGTCACCCTGTAGCGGAACATGAGGCATGGAGAGGCCTTCCTCCTCAGAGGCCTCCTGCGGCCTTCTGCAGTTTGTTCTTCCTTGTTTACTATTACTCATAAACAATTTATGTAGGCACTCTGTAAGTCTTTCTCCTCTGCTGCTTTTCCCAACAGATCTTTATTATACAATGCCAAAACCTTCATTCGACAAATAATTCTGAGCACTTAATATGTGCCTGACACTTCTAGGAATCAAGAGCATACAGATGGTATAGAAAGCTGTAAGATCACCAGTGGAGTGACACAGAAGGCGAAGAGATTCAACGACTGAGCCCAGCAGTCCAACACTGAAAAGTCGGAAAGATGAAGCGATCAATGAACAGGAGGAGAACCAGGAAGAGCAACGCTCCAGAGATCCAGTAAAGGAAAAACTAGTGATGACCACATCTATACTACAGAGGGATGATGCCAGAAAAGCACTGGGAATTTGCTTGGCATTGTGGAGGCTGCTGTGACCTGGAGAAGAGTAGTTTTAATAGTGATGAGGAATACAATTTGACTGGAGAGGGTGGAGAGGGAATGGGAAGAAAAGTACTATAGAAAGGGAGTACACATCATTCTTGATAAAGGGCAATGGTTCTCGAACTTTTTGGTCTCAGAAACCTCCCTTTTTTTTTTTTTTTTGAGATATGATCCAGCTCTGTTGCTCAGGCTGGAGTGCAGTGGCACAGACATGGCTCACTGCAACCTTGATCTCCCTGGCTCAAGTCATCCTCCCTCTTCAGCTTCCTGAATAGCTGGGACTGTAGGCGTGCACCACCATGCCTGGCTAATTTTTACATATTTTTTGTAGAGATGGGGGAGGTCTCACTATGTTGCCTAGGTTGGTCTTGAACAATTGGCCTCAAGTGATCCTCCCACCTCGGCCTCCCAAAGTGTTGATATTATAGCTGTGAGCCACCACACTCAGCTCCTTTACATTCTTAAAGAAATGACTGAGACTCCCAAACAGGCTTTATTTATGTGGGCTATATCTTTTTATATTAGCATATCAAACATTAAAACTGATAAAGTTTTCAATCAATTTTAATTAATTAATCCATTAAGAAATAACCATGACAAAACCTATTTATTATATGGTAACAAACTGGCTACGAGGAACATAAAAACTTAAGAGTAGTGCTGTTTTACATTTTTTTCCAAATCTTTAGAATGTTTGGATTAACAAAGAATGCAGACAAATTTTACATCGAATTCTCTGTTAGTGACCATATCACCACATCACACATCAAGCAGGCTTCTCTGGAAAACTCCACGGTGAACACAAGGAAGAACAAAAATAAAAAAGGCAAGCAAGTCTTTGATTTGTTATAAATATAGCTTTGTCTTTGTGGCCCCCTGAAAGCCTTGGAGAACACTCTTTGAGAACCACTACTATAGGGAAAGTAGAAAAAAAACAGAGCCATAGCAGGAAGAAGATGAGGATTTAAGGAAATTTTTGTTCTTTTTAAAAGATGTTCGATTTTACATCATGCAAATGAATGGCTTGGAAAGTGAACTGCTCTAGTAATAATTGCTTAAGGACATAATTCAGCTAGCAACTTTTTCTTACCTTTGTTATATGGTGTAAATGGGTCAACCTCATACCATGAAGAAGTGTTTTCTTTTTCTGCTCTTATACGCAATTTAATTTCTTCATAAACATTCAACTTGACTGAAGAAAAGTTGCATTTGGTACTAGTAATATTCTGACACCCAGGCAATTTTATCCAATTATCCGTCCCAGATCTTTAAAGTAAAAAACAAATGAATAAGTGAGCCAATATATAAATATGCATCAAATACTTTCTATTACTGATATTATAAAGCTATTATGGTTTAAGAGTTATTTCTTCTGCTTCAGCTAATGTCCTATTAACATTTTAGTATATACCTTTCCACTCTTTTTCAATGCATATAAGCCAAGTTATTATTTATAAAACTGAATTTTAAAATACAGTTCTTGGGCCGGGCGCGGTGGCTCAAGCCTGTAATCCCAGCACTTTGGGAGGCCGAGGCGGGTGGATCACGAGGTCAAGAGATCGAGACCATCCTGGTCAACATGGTGAAACCCCGTCTCTACTAAAACTACAAAAAAAAATTAGCTGGGCATGGTGGCACGTGCCTGTAATCCTGGCTACTCAGGAGGCTGAGGCAGGAGAATTGCCTGAACCCAGGAGGCGGAGGTTACGGTGAGCCGAGATCGCGCCATTGCACTCCAGCCTGGGTAACAAGAGCGAAACTCCGTCTCAAAAAAAAAAAATAAATAAAAATAAAATAAAATAAAATACAGTTCTTTATATAATCTTGTGGGTGGCTGCTTTAGGATTTCAAGGAAGCAGAGAAATAAATGACCCATAAGGTAAAAGTGGATTTAGTATGCTGGCTCTGTTAAAAATAGTTGTGTGACTTTTGGTAAACTATTTTGTGTTTCTGGATCTCATCTTCCTTATTTAAAGTTTGGAGCCTGGGCACATAACATAGCAAGCCCTGTCTGTATGAGGGGGAAAAAAAAAAGCAAAGCAGGGCGTGCTACATGTGTCTGTAGTCCTAGCTACTGGTTAGGCTGAGGTGAGAGGGTCATTTGAGTACAAGGGTTCAAGGCTGCGGGCTGCAGTATGCTATGATTATATCACTGCACTCCAGCCTCAGCAAACAAGCAAGACCCTATCTCTAATAAAATATAATAAAATTAAATTAAAATTGGGGAATTGGATTTGATGATTCCTTTCTGACCTCCTCCTATGAACAGACTTACCTCCCTAAGAAAGACCTTGGGAGTCAGGCATGGTGGCTCACGCCCATAATCCCAGCACTTTGGGAGGCTGAGACAGGTGGATCACATGAGGTCAGGCGTTTGAGACCAGGCTGGCCAACATGGTGAAATCCCGTCTCTACTAAAATACAAAAATTAGCTGGGCACAGTGGCAGGCACCTATAATCTCAGCTATTTGGGAGGCTGAGGCGGGAAAATTGCTTGAACCTTGGAGGAGGAGGTTGCAGTGAGCCGAGATCACGCTATTATACTCCAGCCTGGGCAACAAGAGTGACACTGTCTCAAAAAAAAAAAAAAAAAAGACAGACCTCGGAATCAGTATGGTTTCAGGGTTTCCTCTGCCCTCTCCAAAAGCAAACCATCCATTCTGCTTGCTTGTCTCTATAATTTCTTCTATTACATTGCCAGAAACCAAAAAACTTAAAATGTTTACATAAACAAGTCTTTGGAAGTAGAACTGGCCAATCAGAAAGCTGAAGTGATATTAGATTGTTCCTTTTGAAAAAGGGGCAAACATGAAGAAATCAAGTGGGCATGAAGTATAAAGCGGAAAAGGACATGTTACCCAGACAGGGGAAGAAGAGCCTGCAGGGAAACTGAGGGACAGAAATAAACTTAGCAGATTTCTTTTCTTTTTTTTTTTCCTGAGTCTGTTGTCTAGGCTGGAGTGCAGTGGTGTGATCTCAGCTCACTCCAACCTCCGTTTCCCAGATTCAAGCAATTCTCCTGCCTCCGCCTCCCAAGTAGCCGGAATTACAGGCATGTGCCTGACCTCAAGTGATCCTCCAGTCTTGGCCTCCCAAAGTCCTGGATTACAGGTGTGAGCCATCGCACCCGATAAATGTTTGTTGAATGAAAGAATGAATGCCTCACATCACAAACATGCGACATTTTATTTATTTTTATTTTTATTTTTTTTTTGAGACGGAGTTTCACTCTTGTTACCCAGGCTGGAGTGCAATGGCACGATCTCGGCTCACCGCAACCTCTGCCTCCTGGGTGCAGGCAATTCTCCTGCCTCAGCCTCCTGAGTAGCTGGGATTACAGGCACGCGCCACCATGCCCAGCTGATTTTTTGTATTTTTAGTAGAGACGGGGTTTCACCATGTTGACCAGGATGGTCTCGATCTCTTGACCTCGTGATCCACCCGCCTCGGCCTCCCAAAGTGCTGGGATTACAGGCTTGAGCCATCGCGCCCGGCCGACATTTTAGATGTAAGTTATAAACACTGATATTTTAGGTCACGTATGTTCTATAGGCACTGGAATTGTAACAGTTTATTCATCTGTGTTTCACTACTGATGGTAAATGTGCTATATTCTAAGAAATATTATGTTAAAAAATACCTGTCTGCGGCTGACATTCATTACATTTAAATTGATCACTTACTCTGTGTCATTTTCCTGAGAACTTTATATAAAATTACTCAATACTCAGAAGAACCTTCTTCATTAGATATCTTATTTCTGGGGTTTGCCATCCCAGTATGCCTGGGGCACTTCTGGTTTAATCTTGTTCTTCCAGCTTATCTAAAATTTAAAGGGCTCTTTTTACTCTCAAAAGTATCCTGGTTTGACTGCTAGATTGTATGTTGCCATATTAGTTATCAACTCAATTTAACAGATAAGGAAATTGAGACACAGAGAATAATTAGCAGAGGATGGATTTAAAGGCAACCAGCCTCAAGTTCATACCACAATGCTACAAACTTGTAGTCTGCCATATTTTTGCAAGATAATTGTCTATAAAGCTGGTGGAACAAAATAAAATAAGAACACACTGAAATGTGGCATTCAATGCTAAAGTCAGAATGGAGGGCAGAAGATTATCATGGACTGAAGAATTTAGTATAAGCAATAACGTATGACAGAACAGAAGTATGAGAACATTGTAGGTTTTCTTTATTATAAGGGTAACTTTATGTAAAAATTTTTTATGCTTTATTTTTAAAAGTATGTATTTGTATAAATTTATGGGGTACAGGTGCAGTTTTGTTACATGTACAGATTATGTAGTGTTGAAGTCAGGGCTTTTAGGGTATCCATCAAACGACATAGATTGTACCCATTAAGTAATTTCTCATCCTCCATCCCTCCCACCCCCTCACCCTTCCAAGTCTCCAATGGCTATCATTCTTCATTCCACAGCCATGTGTATACATTATTTAGCTCCCACTTATAAGAAAGAAGGTATGATACTATCTTTCTGTGTCTGACCTGTTTCACTTAATGGACACCAGTTCCATCATGTTGCTACAAAAGACATGCTTTCATTCCTCTTTATGGCTGAATAATATTCTCATTGCATATATATATATGTATATATATATAAAATATATTATTTTACATATACACAGACACACACACACACATACACACACACACACACACACACAACATATTTTCTTTATTCAGTCATCCACTGATGGAACCTTAGGTTGATTTCATATCTTTGCTACTATAAATAGTGCTGTGATGAACATGAGTACAAGTTTGTTTTTAGTATAATAATTTCTTTTCATTGGGGTAGATACTCAGTAGTGTGATAGCTGGATGGAATGATAGTTGTATTTTTAGTTATTTGGGAAATCTTCATACTGCTTTCCATAGAAGTTGTATTAATTTACATTCCCCCCAACGGTGTATAAGAATTCCCTTAATTCCCCATTCTCACCAATTTTTTTTTGAGGCAGAGTCTTGCTCTGTCACCCAGGTTGGAGTGCAATGGCACGATCTTGGCTCACTGCAACCTCCGCCTCCCGGGTTCAAGGGATTCTCCTGTCTCGGTCTCCCAAGTAGCTGGGATTACAGGCGCCTGCCACCATGCCCAGCTAATTTTTGTATTTTAGTAGAGACAGGGTTTCACCATGTTGGTCAGGCTGGTCTTCAACTCCTGACCTCAGGTGATCCACCCGCCTTGGCCTCCCAAAGTGCTAGAATTACAGATGCGAGTTACCATGTCTGGCCTTTTTTTACTTTTTAATAACACCCACTCTAATCTAGGGGAGACAATATCTCACAGAGGGTTTAGTCTGCACTTCTCTGGTGATTAGTGATGTTGACCATTTTTTCATATACCTGTTGGTCATTGGATGTTTTCTTTTGAAAAATGTCTTTTCATATCTTTTGGCTACCTTTTGATGGAGTTGGGTTTTGTTGTTGATTGTATGAGCTTCCTTGATATTAAGCTCTTGCTGGATATATATTTTGCAAATATTTTCTTTATACAAGTAATTTTAAATAAGGGTAATCTAAAATAATTTCTTCTCTACTTAAAATAGTTGTTCATAAGGAAATTCCAAACTAAGGGAAAAGACAAAACTGGTAACAAAACTCAAAGTTCAATTTAATGAAAATCTCTAGAGAGAAAAATTTTTAAGTTATCAATTCTGAGAAAAGTCATATATGCATTTGTGTGTGTGTATATATATACACGTATATATTCATACTGTATACGTATATATACAGTGTGTCTATATGTATGTATACATATACATACACATACACAATTACTGAAGCTGTGAGATTCATATCCCAGTTTTAGTTACAACTTGAGAACAGTAGTGTCACAACTGTGGCTGAGGTGGTGAGATCCTGGTTCAGGAGGGCCTAATGCCTTATTTCTTAATTGCCTGCTTTTTCTTGGACAGGGGAACATGGTTAGCAGGTGGGGCCTCAACACCTAACCAGAAGGCAAGGTACTGTACTTCCTGATCTGCGTTCCCTTCTATATTCCTCCTCCTGTTTGCCTTTCCTCTTGAATTATTAAGCAGAAAGTGCTAAAGAAGAGACATCAACATTCCAGAAAATCTGAGTCTTTGGAAATGCAAGGTCCAAAATATTGATTTTTAATTTAATTAATTGATTAATTAATTTATTTGGACATAGTCTCGCTCTGTTGTTCAGGCTTGCCTGCCTGCCTGCCTTCTTTCCTTCCTTCCTTCCTCCCTCCTCTTTTTTTTTCTCTCTCTCTCTCTTCTTTCTTTCTTTGAGATGGAGTCTCGCTCTGTTGCCTAGGCTAGAGTGCAGTGATGCAATCTCAGCTCACTGCAACCTCTGCCTCCCAGGTTCCAGTGATTCCTGCCTCAGTCTCCTGAGTAGCTGGGAGTACAGGCATGTACCACCACATCTGGCTAATTTTTGCATTTTTAGTGGAGACGGGGTTTCACCATATTGGTCAGGCTGGTCTCAAACTCCTCACCTTGAGATCTGCATGCTTCAGCCTCCCAAAGTGCTGGGATTATAGGTGTGAGCCACCGCGCCTGGCCTTATTTATTTATTTTTGAGATGGAGTTTTGCTCAGTCTCCCAGGCTGGAATGCAGTGGCGTGAACTTGGCTCACAGCAACCTCTGTCCCCCAGGTTCAAGCGATTCTTCTGTCTCAGCTTCCCTAGTAGCTGGGATTACAGGCATGGGCCACCACGCCTGGCTAACAATATATTTATAAAGTGTATCTAGGTCAGGGCGGTGGCTCAAGCCTGTAATCCCAGCACTTTGAGAGGCTGAGGTGAGCGAATCACCTGAGGTCAGGGGTTTGAGACCAGCCTGGCCAACATGGTGAAACCCTGTCTCTACTAAAAATAAAAAAATTAGCCAGGCATGCTGGCATGTGCCTGTAATCCCAGCTATTCAAGATGCTGAGACAGGAGAATTGCTTGAACCCAGGAAGTGAAGGTTGCAGTGAGCCAAGATTGCATCACTGCACTCTAGCCTCAGTGACAGAGCAAGACTCCATCTCAAAAAAAAAAAAAAAAAAAAAAAAAAGTGTATCTAAAATTAAAATGTAGTATATCATGGAGCTAATAGGAAAGCCTGACCACAAGAAGCCTGGTGGCCTATTCCAAGGATTTGGATGGGCCTTTTGGAGTACTATCCCATATCCTCAAGATATACCCTAATTCAGACCTCAATTTATATTGAAAGAAGCTGGAACACCCAGAAGAAGGAATGGCTATGGGTTGGAGATGCTGTCTACCACCCTCATCCCCAATTTCTTTTGCTTCAGCACCCAAAGGTGTATTTGACTAAGTCTCTATAGAAACAAAGTTAAAAATATTATGTAAAATAGGCATAACATTTCTAAAAAATAGAAAAACCACATACTTTCCAAATCTGAAAATTATGGTGTTAAAATTGTAAAAATTTTCAGGTCATTCTGACAAATCAGTAAGCAGAGTCACATACTTTTGATAATCAAATGAAAAAGTCACACTCCTGAGAGACTCATCACTCCTGTTCCACTGCAGGATAAAGTTGTCATCTATGATGTCGACTTCTACTTTTTGATAAGATTTTAGATTTTTCCCACCTATAAAGGAAACAAGAAATAAGAACATTATATATAAACTGTACAGATATTCTAAACGTTATTCTATCCCTCACATCCCTGATTAAAGAATGAATATAGTGAAATACAATGAAGTATATTTAAAAAATCTAAAAAAGGCCGGGCGCGGTGGCTCACGCCTGTAATCCCAGCACTTTGGGAGGCCGAGGCGGGTGGATCAC